GCGGACGTGCCGGTGCTGTGGGCAAACCCCCCGCGTGGACTCGAGACTTGTGCGAACTTCCCAGCGGCCGGGTCCGGGTGCCTCGGAGGGAGGGAGCAGAACCGGGACTCGCCCAGCGATCGATCCCTCCCCGTTCCCAGTCCCTGCCCTTGCTGGCTAGTAGCCACTCCCCGGACCTGTCTCGCTCTTTCTTGGGTCCTGGACTTCACGGCCGCCTCAAATTGTTCCAGGCGCTGTGCGAGGTTTGGCACGTCTGCACAGGGGGCATGTTACACCACGGTGCAGGAGACAGCGCCTCAATGTATAAAATGACTAATGAGGCATCTGTGTCCCTATTAATTCACGGCCGCCTCAAATTGTTCCAGGCGCTGTGCGAGGTTTGGCACGTCTGCACAGGGGGCATGTTACACCACGGTGCAGGAGACAGCGCCTCAATGTATAAAATGACTAATGAGGCATCTGTGTCCCTATTAAAGACACTGAGTTGTATCTCCCTGCTAGTGGGCCAGGACCTGTGTTTGCCTGACACCCTAAATACGATGCTAAGCGAGATCAGTTGCTCTGGCTAGGCCACATGCTGCACTCATCCCTGTGGTACTGGAGGGACACAACCGGCAGCGTCAGCCGATTTCTGCCTTTGGACCTGTGTTGGACAGGAAGCAATCTGGGATGTGCGTCTAGGCAGGCTGTTGGGAGGGAAACTACTCTGAGATGCATCATTATTGCAGCTAAGCATGGGGAGGTTATGGGACTGGAAGCCATGTATCCTGAGTTTCCCCACCGTCTTCTGCCCGTGTGGACTTCCTGAACAGGAGCGCTCCCTAGCCTGACCCACTGTTGCCCACAATGACACTGCTCCAATTTCTTCTGGCCTCATTGGCTGCCTTCAGCCGGGACTGACTCCTGCAGGCAGGAGGAGAACCTGGACCGAGTTGTGCTTGTGCGAGTCTGCTGGCGTCTCTTCTGACAGCATATTGACCCTGGACATGGCAGTAATGCTTCAGGGAGCATCTCCCTGGCTCCTGCGTGTGTGATCCCCGGGGCTCCTGCGGTCCCCATGGCTCTTGTATAAATTGCGTGTGTGGCCGGGGCAAGCTCCTGTCAGGGCTCTGCTCTCTTCACTCCCTCCTTGGGGCTTTCTCTTCCGTGCTCCTCCCTGCTGAGCCACTGCCCTGAGTCTGGTAGGCTCCAGGTGCCCAGCAGGGGGCGGAAGAGGAACTTCCCTGTGTCCTCAGCAAATCGCATTTCTTGCTGCCAGCCGGGCTAATGAAACGTGCCTGTGGCTTGGCACCATCCACCTCTGGGCTGGAACGCGGCATGAGCGACTGGACCAGGGCCTGCGCACGCGGCTCGGCGGCTCCCGGTGCACAGGCTGGCGGGCCC